GAGGAGAGAGAGAGAGAGAGAGAGAGAGAGAGAGAGAGAGAGAGAGAACATATATGAAAAGAAAAAGAAGGAGGTGGCTTTTCCATCACCATTTTGAGGGTCTGAGGCCATGGTAAGTTGGCCCCATTGATTGTCTTGGACTGTGACAAGGCAGTAGTATAGCAGGGACACATGGCAAATGTACAATGTATTTAGTACATGTTTGTTGGATGAAAAACAAAGCCCCCATTTCAAGGATCCATTTTTCAAGTTTGCTTAATGTATCCAGCCGGCAGGGTGGCTGGAGCATAAGGCAGGATTCTGGGACTGGTTAGAAGAGGGTGAGTGACCCTAGTGACTCCTGCTGGGTGTCCTCTTACATGCCAGTATCTCCATGGAGCTGACAGCTTCCGCCTTGTCTGTCCCTGAGTGTCATACCTGGAACAAAATGCCTTCATTATCCAGTCTGGCCTCATCTCACACACATGGCTCAGAAAGCAGATACTGCCTGGTTCTTTTCTGGTTCCTATGGATACAATGCCTCTTTTGACCCACCGGGACCCATCTGCGTGGGCAGCTGCCATATCGGAACAGAAATGACAGCACTGAGCAGGAAGAAGTCTGAGGGGTGCGGCAAGAAAGAATGGACAGAGAGTGATGGGTATTCACCTTGCAGAAGAAGGGATGTGTGTGAAAGCTTCTTGGGAAATCAAACACAGTTCTGGAAAAAATTCCTTTTGCTAAGTATAAGATGGGGGGGGGGGGCAATCACCATTGAAGATTGCCTTCCCTTCTGCAGCCAGAGCAGAACTCTTGGCTCTGTTTTGATGAGTTTTTTCAAGGCATACCCTTCTCAGTCAACCCCAGGCAGCCACGCACTCTGACGTATGCTGTGTGCTTAATGAAGAAGCAAGAGAGGAAGGCGATCTCTAAGAATGCAGTATGGTGTCTTTCCTCCCCTCTGCTACTTTCACTAACAAACACGTACATTTAGGGGAAAGGCGATTTAAAACAGCAAATTCTATGGCTGAACCTTCACGTTTACCAAGAGTTCTTAGAGCGGTCCTGAATTCCTAATGAAGAATCTGAGACACTGGTATGAGTAGACAGTCCACTATGCCAGAGCCACTTGGGTGAAGCAAGGAGTCAAGACTCAAACCTAGTACTCTAGCTCCCAACACCCGTGTCCTTATTCCCACACCCGCCACCTTACTCTCTGCCTAACTGTCAACTAAGCCTCATCTGCTTCTCAGTTGGAGTGCAAGAAGTCAAGAAAGAGGAAATGGGTGGTTTAGTCCTAGGTTTTTTTTTTTTAACCTGTATCTGAGTAAAGCAAATAAATTCATGCCAATAATCAAACTGCCAGTTTATAGTTTCTTATTTAGCGCCATCTCTAACTTTATAAATTTGACTCTTGCCAACACATTGAAGATTTTTGAAGAGGTTTCCTGTACTGGACTCATCTCCAAAACTGAGGTCACAGATGGGTGCCATGGGATTTTTTGTTTGTTTGTTTTGTTTTGTTTTGTTTTGTTTTCTGTCCATAACTGCCCTCCTACCTCGCAGGAACCACATGATGCTCTAGACATAACTGGAGGCCTACATTCGTCAGTTTCTAAAATATCTGTGTAGCAGGTTGATATAGTAATGACAATGTGTTGTATTTCTAGAACAATATGGTTTTTGAGCTTTATTGTTTTATAACATTACCCCCTCTTCCCTCCCAGCACAAGGTTCCCTCCCTGGCCACAAGGTTAACATAACAGATATGCATTTTTCTGTCTTCTGTGGTGTTGGGGACAGAACCCCAGAGTCTTGCCCATGTCCCATCTACACTGAGCTACACTCCAGAGCTCAGGTATTACCATTTTGACTTTATAAAGACACGGAGCCTGGAGAGGTTAACAAATGTACACTTTACACAACTACAGTTGATGAACCAGGAATGACAAGATCCTGAGTTCCTAACCTCAAATCCAGCATTCTTCTTGCTGGCTAGAACGTTCCTTTTCTTCTGCCTTCCCTTAGGCCCACCGTAAAAGCACCTGAAAAGACAGCAAACGTCTGGCCCCAGTTTTGAAGAACAGCAGCCAAGGCACGTTAGGTAGCTGGTGAGAAAGTAGGGTCCTCTACTACTTGAAAAGTGAAAAGTGGGGTATCTCCTCTTCCAGGGTCCCACAGCTCTCTGTGCCAGAGAGGAGGGTGGGGAGAGAGAGGCAGAGAGAGAGAGAGAGAGAGAGAGAGAGAGAGAGAGAGAGAGAGAGAGAACACTACTCCAACATAACTACACATTCACTTATCCATGTCTCCCACTTATTAATTCTTAATCCTAAATCCATGGGTAGGTAATTCATGAACCCCTCACAGCTACATTCATTGTTCTCAAGGAGACAGTTCTAGTCTGTACAGATCCTCAGAGGAGCACAAAGGAAACCCGAAAGTATTGTTGCGCTGCATAAGGCTCCTAAGCCCCAGTTCTCCCGCTGGCCACCGCCTTTTGCGTAACAAATGGAACGGAGAGACGGGTTCGCCCGTGCTTTCCAGCGCACTTGAGCAAAAGTCTGGCTACAGAGTTTGGTGCTTCTCTGCTTGCTAGTTTTGTCAAGCTTTAATTCCACAATGGCCCGACTATTTTATAACCTGAATGATGCACTAGACAGGACCCCCAGCAACATAGCCAAATTTTAGGGAGGAAGACTTGAAATGTAGGAAAACATCTTGACTCTCAAGACTATGAAAGACACTGTGGCTGATTCATGCTTGCCATTGTCCTTCTAGTTTTCCCATCCACAGATCATTATGCAAAGAGGGAGATTTACATAGGACCAGTTTCAGCTGAGCAAATGATACAGCGTGGCTTCCAGCCCTGGCTGGTTATACATCCTATAGCTATCTCCCTGTCTGAAGTATAAATCTACCACACACACACACACACACACACACACACACACACACACACACAGAGGGAGTGTGTCAGGAAATCACAACTCAGCAAAATACGGCACCTTCCTGACAAATCCTGGATGACTAAGTTACACGTGACTCTGTGGTTGCAAGGCTGTCCAAAATCCAAGGTGATCTGGGGCAACAGCCCCTCCTCCTTGAGCGTGGGGCCAATTCCAAGAAGATAATCAAAGTGAATTGTACCTGGTATATGAAATTGAACACCGCCCTCTACTCTCTGGGCTTTGTAGATCAAAGATAATAAACCTGTCATGAACCAAGACAAAGGGCCACCAAGGAGTGACAAATTTCTATCAGATTCGCATTTCATCAAAACGCTGAGGGCAGGAATACAGTCGGTGAGCCCCCTTCCTCCTCTCCCAGAGACTGAACTACAGGGAAAGAAAGTCACCTGGGTCTTTCACCACATGCAGAGAGCAGAGAACCATGCTGGGGGATATCGTGCTGGGGGACATCGTGCTGGGGGACAATGCTCACCTGTCCTGTCAGCACTCAGCAGAATGCCAGATCTGTTGCGGGATGCTTCCATGCACTGTCCAAAAGCTGTGTGCCAGAACAACTTGGAGACTAACTCTACAAAGCGACGCTAAACACCAGAGGGTACCGTGCACGCAGCCAAGGACAAACTTTTACAGCCTTACATTCCTCTACTCCCAATTTGAACTGTGTTCCGCGTCAGATTAGAATACAGCAGCAGAGGGCAATCAGTGGGCTGCACATCAGATCAAGAGCACTAAAGGTCTGCAGCCGTCACTCAACCGGAGAGCAAAAATTCAGAGAAGCGTTCAGAACAACGGACTTCCTGCAGCCTTCTGATAAGAAGGAGGAAGAAGAAGAGGACGAGGAAGAGGAAGAGGAAGGACTCTGCAGTTTACCACCTCATATCCTCATTCCCCTACTGACCCCCACAGCTCTGCGAGGCAAGGCAGATGAACGAAATGGCTTTGTGGGCACTGATAAGAACCTGAAGCTCAGAGACTTTCCCGCGGACACGTAGCAATTTCTAGAGTGAGGCGCCGTGCTCTCTGGCTCCGAGTTCAGAGTTTCTTCCAATATAATCTTTGTGTAATACAAGTGCAAGGGTTCTGCTTATGCCTTCACTATCACTCCATGATGCCTTATGCAAGCAAATCACCTAACAGACCCTACTCGGTGCTTTTAGCAATTGTCCTTTCAGGTGAACCCAAAAGGTACTAATTCACTTGGCCCTTTCTTCTGATTTTTCTGTAATTCTAAGCTCCCGCACTGGTTATCCATTTCCTTGGTGACCTTAGGACGGTCATCTGGGCTCTTTGGAGGCCTTTGAAGATAATCATAATATTTGAAGGCATCATTTAAGGGAAAGATTTTTCGAGTGCCTATCAACCACTATCTGGAAAATTAAGAAAACAAGAGTACTCAAGACAAAGTCTTTTTTCTGTACGGAGCTTCAAACAAAGGGTATGCCACCACAGGGGTCATGAACATCAATACAAATCCCAGCTGTGGTAGGATCATGGGCCCAGACACGGTCCTCGACAGCAGCGTGGGTCCAGATGTCACCACGGACCCAGGAGGGGACAGCACAAGACACTCGGATTGGCATTGCCATTGCTGCAGGGTGGCCCTAGGATACCAACAAGGCCCTAGGTGGGGGCCTAGATCCTGGGCATCCACACCAGGTGCCAAGGACCTCAATACAGACACAGGAGGGCTGAACTGAGCTGGCCCTACTCCTCACTAACCCAGGGATGATGAACCCTGATGACCCCACGCCTAATAGGAGAACTGCCTCTCCTCCTCCACACTTGGGAACGCTGGCCCCACCCCTCACCTAATGAGGGGTAGTCCCAGCAGCAGGGTCAGAGCAACCCAGCTACCACCTAGACATGCATCCAGGGCTTTGAGTGGACACTCCCCAACATCTACCCATCTATGACCTGCTGGAGTGTGTGAGGGCATGGCCCTGTGGAACCATAGCTGCAGGATCTCCATGACTCCGGGCAGCAGCAGGATATCCAATGTGTTTCAGCCAGTGTTCAGTACAGATGGTGTACCCGAAGCCAAAGGCCTTAAACATGACCAACAACACGCTCCACAAGGAACATTTGCAAGGTAAATTGTTTGAACAAAGGCTATATGACACATAGCAGCTCCCAAAGCCACCAGGACAAACAAAGAGGCCCTGGGTTTTTCTTAAATTTTTTTTATTTTGTTTTGTTTCGCTAGTTAGTTTGGTTAGTTGGGTTTTGCTTGTTTGTTTGTTTTTTAATTAAGATTCTTATTTGAACATTTTTTATTTTTCTACTTTTTATTTTTATCTTATTTTTATTATTTCTGTTTTTGTTTGTTTTCCTTACACTACAAGGGTAAAGGGCAAATGTGGATGGACTGGGAAAGGAGTGGGGTTGGGGGGGGGGTGCATGATGCGAAATTCTCAGAATCAATAAAAAAATTACATTAAAAATTTAGGTTCATAATGGTCAACTTAATAATGGAGACAACTGAGACTTGACAGATGGATGACTCGTCAGTTAAGAGCACTGGTTGCTCTTACAGAGGACCCAGGTTCAATTCCCAGCACCTACATGGCGGCTCACAACTGTCTGTAACCCCAATTCTAGGGGATCCAACACCCTCAAACAGATATGGCAAAACACCAATGCACATTAAAAATAAATAAATAAATAAATAACATGGAAAAAGAAAGAGAATGGAGGCAGCTAAAGGAATATTGCAAAAGTGTATTTTCTCAGGAAATCCAGCTTTCCCACTGTAGCGAAACTATTAACACTCAGCAACGATGAATGTTTAGTCCGCTCTGACTTCTCACGTAAGACCATTCTAAAGTGAAAAATATCCCTCGTTTAAAGACCTGGAGAGAGAGACAGAGAGAGAGAGAGAGAGAGAGAGAGAGAGAGAGAGAGAGAGAGAGAGAGAGAGAGAGAGAGAGAGAGAGAGAGAGAGAGAGAGAGAGAGAGAGAGAGAGAGAGAGAGNAGAGAGAGAGAGAGAGAGAGAGAGAGAGAGAGAGAGAGAGAGAGAGACAGAGAGAACGAGCATCGATAACAGCATGCTTCTGTGCCCTGCACTAAGAGCCACCCTGAAACAGGAGCAGAGCATCTCCAGGTATAGAGAAATTGCATTCAGTCCAGCGGTGCACGTCAGAGACGACTTTGCAGAGAGAGCACCACCAATGCCAACAACCTGGCAAGTGGGTTTTCTAGACTTTTCTCTAGCTCCCTCTGTGCTTCTGAGGACTGCAAAGCCATCAGCTCTCCTGGCCCTGTTTTGCCCACGCTGCTCTCTTAACCTCTTGGATCTTAGCCCAGGATCATCTTTGCCATTCTTCAAGGTTCACCTTCAATGTAGCCTTCTCTTGGAAGCAATCTCTGGCCTAACTGAAATAAATCTAAACAGATTACAAAAGGGAAAAAAAATGATCCTAATTTCTTCGCACATCTCTGGAACCTTCAAAAAATCCTAAGCCTTTTTGGCTGTATTCGTCATGAAATGATCCTCACATTCGTAATTTAAGACCCACTCATCCATACCACCTGTGTGAACAGCAGGAGAGAGGAACCGTAGGAACCGAGGCTTCTAAAGCTTGTATTCCTCGACTGCTCTGCTGTTAGTCTTCGGCAAAGCTGAGGACTGAGAAATCTTGTTCTCTGCTCCACAGGATCCAGCTGGGATTAAGTGCAGCAGCCTGCAGGGTAATCACTGTCAGCGTCCTTGGTCAAGTGGTGGCGGATCTGGGTGAAAACATAGCAACTCTGCACTGGGGTGGACCTCAGCTTTTCAGCCGGAAAATTACAGAGCGCTTCTTCTGCCCATCCGCGACCCCTTATACATGGGACCAGAGATGCCATAGGACAAAACCGAGAGATATATTCATATTGCAGGTTTTGCAAGCTCTCCGGATGTCCTAACAATAAGTTACAGATGTCTAATCCTAAATTAAGAAGTTAAATGCAGTGTGGACTCCACAAATGGCAATTTTCTATAATTTGGGAAAAATATTTGGTAGCTAGATTCCCACTGGAAATGGTTGGCAACAGTTCTCTCTGCTAAATATCTCCATCAGCCTCTCCTAAGGCCCTGATCACACCAGAGAACAATAGACTTCCAAAAACAACAGAGAATTGCTCAGGAAACTATAATTATGATTTTCCTCTGGGCATCTCAGCGTTTTATAACCAGGACAAGTACTGGGCTAGCTGAGTACATACATCCACGTTCCTTTAATAGCTTTAAACTGCACCTTGGCTTTTCCTAGTTTGTGCTGTTGCCTTCTTCACTTTTGTTTTGAAAGGAGACTTTTTATCAGTTTTCCTGCGCCGTGCCATTTTATCTCTTCCTTCTGCCTGCAATAAGATATCAGGCTAATATTGGCAGAGCAACTTCCTACAATGATTCTTTGTTCCAGAAAAAAAAAAAGAGTATGAATAGTACATTATTAAAATGGAGAAGGAAGTGAGTTTCATTCCGCTTCTTATTTACTTAGTGAATATTGTCACGGCACCAGGAGCTGGACAAAAGACGAATACACGGGAACAATAGCTCAGTGCACTCCGATCTTGCCTTTCGCATGAGGATCTCTGAGTAGTTTCCAAACACTGAATCATAAATCCACTCCCTCCAGGCAGGACTGCACAGCTAACAGCAAGGGAGCTGCTGGGAACACCTTGTGCCACCGCTGGAGACTGCAGCATTGGGTGCCTGAAGATTCGGATGGGATGGGCTGTGAGAGACGGTGGGTGAGTTTGGAAGAAAGAAGCAGGAAAATATAGGAGCAAAGAGAATCCTAGTCAGAGCAGCTGGGCCTGTGGGTCCCTGACTGACAACTGGGCTTTCAGAATCAAGCACACACTTAGCAGCTGACAAAGGAAATGTTTTACTTCCTGCAAATTGGCTCTTATCTTCCTCTAACACATTCCTGACATCTGCAGTTTTGTTTTACTTTTTTTCTGCAGAGAAGAAACTTTTTTAAGATACTAGTAGCTTGCGTTACACGTTTGATGGTTACAAAACATTTGACTCTATTCTTAATAATACTCCCATTAAGATTTACCATATACCAACTTAATGTGACAGTCTAAAATCAGGAAATCTCATTTATTTAGATCCCACTACATTCTGCATTTATATAAAAGTGCCCAGAACTTGATAATTTTCTCTGGGAAAGCATGAGGCCAACGCCTTTGGAGAGGCATGCCCGTGGTGCGGCAGGGCCACAGGCAGCAGTCAGCAACCCATCCGAGAGTCCTTGGCATCAGGGGCACATGGCTCATACTGTAGGCCTTCACAGACAGTCAGGACACAAAACCACAGTTACACAGTTTCTAATGGGAAGCCCTATGCTCAGAAATCAATTGCGAAGCAAAGGGTCAATAGGTAGATATTACTGTTTCAAACCCGGGAAGCGGCGTGGGTGCCTGAACTGGGATCTCAGATTTAGCCTGACTTTCCTCCATCTCTTTTACAGATCAGCTTTCCCCAAAGCTGAATTGATAACTTGAGCTTGATGCAAGTCTCTTGAGGGCTGAGCATCCTCTTGGGAACGAGACCACGTTTTACCCACTGTCGGAGGCTGTGTAGTCTGGTCGTTCTCATCAGAGGACTGAGGAATCTATGGGAAGGAGCCCATTGAAAGACAGGGAAGCACATTGAATATACTTAGTAACAAAGCATAGGTATTCCCAGATGGCCGGGAGGATCTACACCCAGCAACATGGCGGCCCTTCCATTTCAGACCATCTGATTCTGTGTTCAGGTCCCTGGGAGAGACACCATTATAGAAAAATTCTACATAGGCATTTTTTTGGGTTGTGTGTGTGTGTGTGTGCGCGCGCGCGCGCGCGTGCATGCATATGTCTGTGTATGAGGAGGTCAGAGAGGTATCAAATCTCCTGGAACTGGAGCTACAGACAGCTATGAGCCGCCTGATGTGGGTGCTAAGCATAGGCATTAAAGCAGTTTACAATCCTATTTGCTCTGCTATTCTGGTTTTTTGGGATTTGGTCCAGAGTCTTTCAATCATCAGGACCAATCAGAGAGATGACACTAATAATGTTAGACAATTCTAACTTCTCTTAGTTAAGTGTCTTAGTTAAGGTTTCTATTGCTGTGAAGAGACACCATGACCACGGGGACTCTTATGAAGGAAAATACTTAGTTGGGTGGCTTACAGCTTCAGAGGTTTAGTCCATTATCGTCATGGTGTGACATGGTGGCGTGCAGGCAAACATGGTGCTGGAGAAAGAACTGAGAGTTCTATATCTTGATCTGCAGGCAACAGGAAGTGGTCTGAGACACTTGACATGGCTTGAGCATATATGAGACCGCAAATCCCACCTTCAGAATGGCACAACAAAGCCATACCTACTCCAAAAAAAGCCATACTTTCTAATAGTGCCGCTCCCTGTGTGTTTATGGAGGCCAATTATATTCAAACTACCACATCTGGCCAGTCATTGCAAACAACTGGAGCCCTATAGAAGCAAGAGGACACACAATTGTGTCTGTGTCAAGCAAAGCATTTAAGAGAAAGCAGCAGGGCTTTTGGAAACAACTTAGTTTTGCTATATATGGTTTTCCTCTGATGTGAGTGATAAGCCCACATTACACACAAACACACATTCCTCTTGCTTCTTACAGTGGCATTGGTTGCTGTTCTCTGCTTGGAGTTCCCAAAAAGCAGGAATCTCAGGAGGACTGGCTCAGTGAAGGCACAAACTTCAAGCAGTGTCCATTTGACAGATGGTTTATTTGATAAGAAAAGATTTTTCTTCTTTCTTTCTACTTCCTGCCAGATATACACAGCTTTGGGGTTGACTTGACCTGGGTAACGGGATGGAGAGAGAACAGACAAAGAAAAGCTGGGATCAGCTGGGCCATGTGTTCTGCTGGAGATAGACCAACGGCAGCCTGGGAACTTGGCATATCTATTATATAGAACACAAATGATGAGGATGTGGGCTAGCTAGTCTCCACAGGTCTCTCAGGTTGTTGTCGCCCAGGGAAACTGCACTTGGTACTTCCTGCACACACTCTCAACATCAGTACCCCTCAACCAGGGGATGGCTTTGCCATTCCTGAACCTAACCTGGGGAAG